GAATAGGTGATAAAGCGATAGATCTTTCAGCCCAATTCTACTTTTTCTACATAATCCATCATACAAAATGTAATCAAATGGAAAAGTCTCTTTTTAAAACTTGTTTTGTTAGTTTTAATCTTTTAATTTTATGTATCAAGCAAAAATGTAATTATATGCAACATTCACTGACTTGAATAAATTAGTTTAACGTTTAAACCTATTTTCTACACATCAGTGGAAGAATCCGCGAGTTTCTCTGTGAATTTCCCATTACGTCGTCGCGCACTCGGAGCTTGCTCGGAAGTTTAGGGGGTTTTTTCGCTGTAAAAAGAAGTTTTCTTCCCATGCACAACGGACACTAATGTTTTTGTCACTTTTTATGGAATCTAACTCAAAGTAAGGTCAGTACTTCCACGCTTTAAACGCTGCACGCTCACACTCTCTCCCACACTCGATATATTATCCGTTGTTGATCTGCACACAGCTGTTGCCACGAACGGCGCACTCGCTTACGTCACTGTCATAAGACATTCTCGTTTTAGTAACGCAGTAACGCAGCGTTCCTACGGGAAAGTAACGGTAATCTAATTACCATTTTTGCAATAGTAATCCCTTACTTTAGTCGTTACTTGAAAAAAGTAATCAGATTACAGTAACGCGTTACCACCCATCTCTGGTGACAAGTCCATCACAATATAGCTGTCCCCTAACATACCCTGGTTTATTGTCTGTTTTACTCTAAATGGGACCATAATTTACAAAATGAACCTCAGGTTGGATTGAATAAGACTTCAAGCGAGTGATTGAGACCATAAACCTACTGAAAAACTGCTTACAGAGCTCATAAATCAAGTGAAACATAGGCCTGTTTTCTCATAGCCTTCTATATAATCACACTCCTTTTTGCAAACAATAAGTCTGGTGGTTGTTAGAAAGAATGCAAGTTTGATGCACGCGGTCCTCCTTTTTGCTACTCATTACTCATACACTCACCACAGGCTTACCATTCTCTTCTTTGGGGGAGGTCTGCGTATACTGTAGGAGTAGTAGTTGAGCATGGCGTACTCAATCATGGCAGCGAAGACAAACATGAAGCAGACGGTGACAAACAGGTCCATGGCGGTTACGTAGGACACTCTAGGAATAGAGTTTCTGGCCACTGTGCTCAGCGTGGTCATGGTCAGCACTGTGGTGATTCCTGCAAAAGTAACAGAAGCATGAGGATAGGAAGGAGAGTCACTTCACAAAGCATGCACGATGAATTGCTGGTCAGCAGTAGGATGACCCATGTGGATGTCAGTGATTATGTAACATGTGAGCAGCACTTTATTAATCGCTATTAATAATGCACATGGGGTATTCTGGGTAGATGTCCCCAGTCTTGCATCAATCCTTTCTATTAAACACCCACAGCGGGATACGTTTTGAGGGTGGTGCAGCAGAGCGGTCGTAATTATCAAATGATTCAATGTAATTTTTCTTTTTATTCTCTCTCGTTCCACTTACGATCAAAATGATGTTTCAAAAAGAGATCTGTGGGTTAAGCACTTCTATTACACAGAGGCTTATGAGGCGGATCCTGAGTTGTCTCTGGAGTGGTGCAAGTAGTGCAGCCACAACTCAGCAAGCACATTCCTGTTTTTGTTATTTCTGTATATCTGCAAAGGAATGTGATTCGGGACCAATCGGACAAATAGTTGTTAAGATGGCCAAAAAAGAGTGACACACATGGAGATTCCTTGCAAATACCTTGTTTGCATGGGGAATACAGTATATTTAAGAAAACAACTACGAAAAATAAAAAGAATCCTGTTTTTTTAGTAAAAAAAAACAAAAAAAACAGCAAAAAGTACAGTTTATTTAAATTCTACATTTTTTTTAAACATTTCTTTCTATCCTGTTTACCTTTTGTACCAAAATGACTCATCACTATTCTGATATTTTATTTTTATGCTTTTTTATTGGTCATATCCAATAATTCACTCATTCAGCCAAAGTTGAACTGCCCTGATGTAGTCCTGTCTCTTTATAAACAACCAAATATCAGTTTTCGGTGTTTGCTGTTGAAGAAACAGCTCAACAGCAAACAGCAAATATGCTCTCAAATACATTATCATTGATTATATCAGTGATGTGTTCACTGACAATGTTTTCCCATCAAAAACTCTGCACTTTTCACAGTTGTGTTCAGACACTGGAAACACTTTACTTCAGGTCAGGAAAAAAAACAGCTTTTCCGACCTAAACCTAAACCTGAAGTTGCATCTGAACTTAATCCAGAGCGTAAACCCAAGTCTAAAAAGCTTTGTAGTTGCATATAATCATCATTTTGATGACTGTGTTGAGGTCAGTGAAGTGAATGATTTAATTAGCCATGGTTGCTACTTCCTTTTGGACTTTTCTCTCTGACATGATCTTAGTTCGGGCCTCGTGTTCAGCCAGTGATGATGGTGATAATGGTTTTGTTCTCTTGCTTTCATTGCAGGGTCTCCTGCAGATGCAAAGTCTTCTTTGCCTCTTCTTTTGAAAGCTCATCCGCGATGTTGCTGCTTTCCTGTTTTTGCTCCTCCATGACTTTATGTAAACCAAAGCCTCATGCTTAAAAGTATGAGGCTTTGGTTTTATGCAGTTCTTGGTCCAAATTCAGTGGCGTTTAATTTTTTTTTTCAAAGAAGGGTCTCATTGGTGCAGAGCTTAACTTTTAAGCTCAGTAACTTCACAGCTGGACCTCTGCTGCTCTTTCAGGTGTCGCTGTTCCTTCCCTGGATGAGCAGATCAGCCTGTCTGTGTGTGAAGTCTCAGTGGTTTAGGTTGAAGACTGCACACACAGCTCTGCAGTACTTCTTTCTTCCTGCAGGTCTTGGATAATCTTGTCTGGTTTAGCAGTTGTATGATTATTATCTGTGTTAGCTGTGTTGTTCTCTTCAGTACCCACATTTTAGGTTCTCCACTGTTTTAGACTTGGACTTATGACTGAAAGCCTCTTCCAGCTGCTCCTGGCTGCATGTAAAGCCAATCCAGCTGAGTCTTGGAGGCTGAAGTTCTGCTGTTTGCAGATACCAGTCTGGTATAACTGGTATCTGCAGGTAAGGATGTCCTACATTAGGTATCTGAGAGCACTGACGTCTCTTGTATCATATGGGACTCTGTCCTGATTGGGTCTCAAAGTGGGATTGGCCTGGTGATACCAAGTCCCCGTATTAAGCACAGGGTTACCTCTTATGACCCCTGCATTTTCCTCCATATGCGTTTGCACTTTGGCTATTGTAGCATCTCCGTATATTATGTTTTTTGGAAGAATTCCATTTTTCTTTTAAAACAAAAGACCAACTAAAAATAAAGTCTTTTATTTTGAAGTATATGCTAAATTAGCGATATGAGGGCCAACTCTGTCAGATAACAGCAGTAAACACTATATAAAAACAGCTCATTAAATATTTAAAATTTAAGGTTTATTAAAACAATAACAACCTTCTTCTGGAAATGTAATTATTCATTTATTTTTGGCCAATTTGTTAATGCAGTTAAAATGGAAAAATCTGTCCCCCCACAACCTTACCTACTTTGGGAATTTGAACCCATATCTAGGGAGACTAAGATTAGCCCTTTTTCTGTATACATCAATGCTAACACAATAAGGCACAAGGGGACATAGGCTATGACTAACATGGTGTAGTTGCTTCATATTTTTATGACTGGACAATTTGAAAACTCACTTTTATCCATCCATCCATCTTCTGCTTACTGTATCTGCTAGTGTATCTAGAGGCAGGGCACACCCTGGACAGGTCGCCAGCCTGTCACATGTGTCATGGTCCTGGGTCGTGCGACCCAGTGTTTTGTGTTTAGTCTATTTTGATGTTTATTGTTTGTTTAGGTTCATTAAGTTATTCCAGCTCATTTGTAATTATATTACCCTTGTATTAAGCCTCCCTTGCCCTTCATGTGTTTATGTCTGTGTGTCTTGTGTTGTCAAGTTCATGCTGTCACTTCTGTCATCTTCCCCTGTACTCCGTCTACCTGCTTCGTGCGTCTACCTGTCAAAAGTCATGTTTGCATGGTTATGTTTAGTTCATGTCATGTCTAATCTTCATGTTTCCTGTTTTACTTTGAAAGTCTGTATTCAATGTCAGTGTATTTAGTTTCACCTCTCCTGTCCTGTCGTTAGGTTCATGTGTGTCAGCTGTGCTCCCATGTGTGGCCACTTCCCTTGATCATCCCTCATGTGTATTTAGTCTCTGTGTTTCATGTAGTCTGTGTCGCGTCGTCTGTGTTCCCACCCTCCGTGTTTTGTATAGTCTTTTGTATTCCAAGCCATAGCCTTACCATAGTTATGTTTCTGTTTAGTTACATCTCTTGTGCTGCCCTCATTCTTGTTTGTTTCTTTTGTGTTCATCAGCCACAATAAAAGGCTCGCTTTTGTTTAAAGTTCACTCCCGTATCCTCACTTGTGTCTGCACCTGAGTCCTCCTCACACTCTCCACACGGTCTGCCACTGCGGACCGTGACAACATGGCTGTAAATGTTGTGTAAATGTTAAAAATAATAGCTGCTCTTCGTTTCCAAATTCCTCAAATTAACAAGAAACTACTAGAGATGAGGAAAGTAGTGGGACCTGAACATTCACAAAGAGAGGTTTTGGAAATATGGAATAAGATTTTTAAAAAGCTTTCTTTGATTTTGTTGTGATAAATATACGATAGGTTTTAGGCCATACAACCTTGGGGGTTCTATAAAGTGTTAACTATTGACTGGTAAAAATTTTTTTTATAAACCTGTCAAAAGCAGGCATTTTTTTCAACAGTCTGTTATACTGTTTTTCCCCTGAAATTCAAATTCGTTTTTGAGCTATTGACCCACTCAACCACAAAATATAAAAATGCCACTGCCACTTTCAGTTATATAACAGCAGCAGTGGCAGAGAACATAATGCTGCTGTTGAGTGAAAACATCGGCATAGTTGTGCAATGCTGAGCATAATGAGTGCCTGTCTTTGATGAGTGCCTGACCAGAGCTTGCTAATCTTTGCTAGCACAGGTCCACAGTGGCACCACGTGTCTCATGCAGGTCTGAAATGTAAACTGTAATTCTACAAATTCTAATAATAATATACTGTTGTGTGGTCACTACAGCCGTAACACATTAATAATGCCTGAGATCAGATTACCAGAGATCAGAGAACTGACAGACACTCTCTGTTATGTAAAGACATCAAAGACACACCTGCGCAGATATACAGCAACATGGATAATGAATCATAAATGGACATAAATAATTAGGCTCTCTTCTATATTATATAAAAACATGGTTACAACCGGGATATTACTTAACAGCCACAGTGTCTGTCAAATAAATAAATAGGTTACTGAACAAAAATAATGACTATTCACAAGATACTTATGCGTTAATAATTAAGTAGTAGCAAAATGTGATGGCATTGATCTCAATCAATATTACTGCTGCAATGTTGACATCAGTCAGTGTCTAAGGAGATAAGACCTATGAGTCAAAATAATTATGAAGAAGTCAAAATTTAAACACAAAGTCTGTATGGTTAAATAAAAAAGTTAATTTGGAAAAAACAAAGTAGTGAAAAAACCTCAGTCTTTAGATTGGGGACATTTTAGACTCTGGTTTCTGGATTTAATCAAATGTAGTAATACAAAAACTATGACCTCCTTTTTCTAAACCAAATTAAAACAGACAATAGTTAATAACATGCTACTTTAAAATTCAATTAGGAGATAAAGATTTCCTCTTTAAATTTTAACATGCCATCTACTATTTTAGCCTTCTATCATGTCACATGTCTAGTTAACTGTGTCTAACAATTAATTTTTCTTTAGAAGAAATTGGACTCTGTGATTATGTAATAGCGAAATGTTAAAGCGGCATTCTCCACTGCGATTTATTCCTGACTGTTATAGTGAGAGGCCGCGTCATGCTGACAGTTAACATCCTGACTGATGTACAGAATGTGGTCATTAGTCGGCCTCTGGAGAGGCAGAGCTCTCATCAGTCCACTTTTCTTTTAATGACAGTGATGAGTGATGGAAATGAGGCTGGAACGCTTGCATTAGCTTGACCCCTACAGCAAAAAAAAACTCACACTGAATTGAAGATGTGTAATAGCCATGTCGGGCAATAACTGCCAATCACCTGCTAAAAGCTTGTGCATGATCACCGTAACTGGAGAGC